TGAATTTCAAAGAAAAGATATACTTGCCCCTAATGTCTTGGAAATTTCAAGAGCTATTTATGATTGCCAATTTTTTGATAAAATTGACCCAATTTGAGAAAACTGGATAATTGTAACGAAAAACTCTTTTTGCTGGGAAATCTGAAATCCACTTTCAAAACTAGAAGGCGAGCGCCTTTCTTGTAACTTTCACCCTTTAGCTATTCTGTATTAAAGGAAATGAACTGAACTTACAAAGATATCGAAAGTCAAACAACAAAATCAAATTTGAGCGTGGACAAACTATAGGACACTTTATTGGCCTAGAAGATCATCTCGATCTACAAAAGAGTCTCCAATACGTTCTTTGACTCTTCGTAAAACGACCACTAGCAATTTTTGCAAGACTTGTTTAAATCGATAAAAACCATGCTTTGGAAATTAAGCCGACAAAATTTCAGTAGATAAAAATCCGACGATTCCCAAAAAAGGCCATTTCATTCATACCAAAAACAAGTTCCGACTGGGACTCAAACTCCAGACCATATGGCGCATAATCCAGAACAAGTACAGTGCTGATTTAAATTAACCGGACAAAACGCGTTAAACTTGAAATTTAAAACCCGTTTTTCTCAAATTGGGTTGAGTTTAGGTGAAAACTTATGAAGAAAAAACTTGCTTAAAATTTTAGCAGAATTAATATGGTGTCATTTGTTTTGCGAAATTCGGGCCCAAAATTTTGCCCCAAAAATGGGTCATTTTGCGGTTTCTTAGTTAATCAAAACTTACGCCGAAAATACCCAGTCGATCGCAGACATAATTAAATCAAAGTGAGCCCCTTACGTAGCCCAACAAACTTTAAGATGGGTATTATCTCCAAAAATTTGCGCAAATTGTTTAAAACTTGTTATTAAGCAAAAATTCTGGGTTTTATATAGTAAAAATCACATTTATTGACTATCAAGTAATTTTTTTTCTCTTATACAGGTTTATGGAGATTTAACCCTGCTTAAATTTTGTTGGGCTGTGTAAGAGGCTTCTTGTGAAGAATTTTTGCTTATCAATTAACAAAATAGTTTCAGCGTAATTCTTGATTAAGTGAAAAAAGCCATAATGACCCATTTTTGGGGTAAAATTTTTGTTGAGAATTTCGGAGAGAAAATGGCACCATATTAATTTTGGTGAAAATCTAAGCAATTTTTGTTCTCTTCACTTTTTGTCTAATCATAACCCAATTTGAGAAAAACGCGTTTCAAAATTCAAATTTTGTTCCTTTTGTCCGGATAATTTAAATCAGCACTGTATTCCAATGCAAAATAATCACAAAATTCTTTTCTCAATAAAAAATTAGTAAAATTTCTTGGTACTCGTTTACCAGCACCATTAAAAACATATACTCAAGGATTCACAAATATAGCGAAAATTGTTCAAATCGCCAGAAAATTCCGAGCTGCAATGATTAAGCAAATAAAAAATAAGACAATAAACAATAGGGCCACAGTTAGATTTTCAGTTAGCAAAAAGAGCCTTGGTAGTTTTAGCGTTGAAACACTCAACTTATATGCTTTCTTCAGGATTTCACATTTATGTTCATACCCTAAATCTTGTGGAGAATTGACAATTAAGTGTCACAGAAAAGTAATTACAAAATCTACCGTTGGAGAAACAGCTTTCTGCTACATCTTCGACTTGTACCATAAATGCAACAAGTCTATACAACCGCAAAACTTTGCACAGGAACAGTGAGTCGAGTGGGAGCCAAAAGTCTCATTCTTACTGTTGAAAACATTTCCGTTCTCGAAAGCTTGATCGGTTTTGCGAGTCACCTTTCGAAACTTGATCGGAGCAGTCGGAACAGACATAAAAAAAAACAATAAAATTTGAAGAAAAAAAAAACAATGTATTACCCGAGTTTTCATAATGAAAATTTAACGAATGCTGTACTTTCCAATGTTCGAGAGATAGATAGAGCATTTTTCCGATAATTAAAGATCAAAACTTTCTTTCGAGAAACCCGATGTTAATCAATTTTTGCTCCGTTTATAGCAAAACAAAACCAGCAAAGTTTGAGCCCAGCAGACATGTATTCCTAAAAAAAAAATCAAATGATCTGTTTGAACTATAGAACAATTTTTTTAGCGTAAATTCAACACTTCCATGCTTGAGCGGAACTTGAGTTACGCTGGCAAATTGGATTCAACAAACAGGCTTCAAAATGCTAGCCAAATAAGGATTAAAACCAAACCGTAACACAGAGGCGAAGCGGAGCTACGCATCACTTGCGATACAACGAAAGCTTAGCATTGAAAACTAACAAAAAAACAGTGAGAAACAATTTTTTGTAAACCAACATTTTCCGAGCGTTCACTTAGCCAACAACACCTTAAAGGAAGTCAATTGATCCGAAAACAGAAAAGTCAAAAAAAATCTTGAGCGACTAAAAACTACTAACCAACCTGATTTACTGAAAACAAGAGCAATAATTTTTTATCCTTGGGCCGATGCAAATTAAGTTCACTTAACCGACAAAACTAGCAAGAAAAAAAATACAGGCCGAAAATATAACGGCCACAGATAGTAAATTTAACACTGGCGATACAAAACAAAACAGCCGCTAAACCGAAAAAACAGAAAAAATTTCAAAAAAGCCGACATCTTTCAATATGAATAAAACTAAATTGCAAAAACATACCAAGACAATAAAAGATAAAAAAAGCATCAAAAGAAAACAACAAGCTTCAAACAAGCCGAAAATACCTGAGCAGAAACCCTTCAAGCCGCAAAATTTCACAACAGACAAAATTTTAATTAAGTTGATAGAGTCCAATCGCCTTCATTACATACGCACGCACACAAAAACTTTTTCGCTCATCAAAAGATGCATTATGAGTCCATTAAATCGATAAATACAGACTAAAACTTAATCAACCGAGAAAAAAACGAACGAAATTTTAAAAAAGACTTAAAAACTAACTAGAGAGTTGTTAAGGTCCCATTCCCTCCAATACACACACCGCACAAAAACTTTTTCCGCTCAATAATCGACGCACTGTGAAGCCAATATGTCGATATAATATAGTCCCTTACTTATAAAACCGAGAAAGCAACATGTCAAAAATGACTGACATTCATAAACCTCTAAAATTAATCTTGATATTGTCCCAATGTAATGGGCGCGTCGAAGGAGGTTTTTCGACAAATTAGAGCATTCTTCTCAATGGTATGAAGGAGCGCACGGTCATAGCCCAGAGAACTGTACACGATTGGATCCTTCATTCTGGGAAGCGGTTGTCCCGTGATTTGGTGGATAAACGTATGATGGATGCAATAAAAGGTTGTCGGCAACGCTGTGAAAAAGCCTTGAAAACTGACCAAAAGAATCAAACACAGAAGTAAGCAGTTCGTGCTGAGTAGCGGAAGATCATGAGCGAACTTTCGGCATTGCAGAAGAAACGCCAAACACTCGACCAACAAGTGAAACAGGACAAAGAAATACTGGATTTGGAAACTCAGCAAAAAAAGCAGAAAATGTTAAATCTGTGAAGGGAATTGATTATTTTCTATGGAAATGTTTTTTGAATTTAGAGGCATATCATTTGTTCAGCGAATGTCAGGGAAAACCGGGAAATGTCAGGGAATTTTAAATTGAATAACGTGGGACCCGTGTGCAAAGAGTAAATCAGTACGTACAGGAGTGAATCACCGACACTTCAAACTACAACTGCTTACAGCATCAAAAACCGTTGTGTGGCAACTAAGCCATTAAACTTTAGTCCAAGTATACGATTTTTCACGGAGAAAAATTCAATTTCAGACACAAAAAACAGACCGTAGGGTGCAAAAGCAACTGCATTACTTCCAGGCCAAAAGAAAAAGACTGGAAGTTGCCAAGACTCGATAAAAAGCAACATAAATTTCATTTACATATGAGTAAGAAAAGTTCTTAAAGGAAACAAAAGTCTAGTTTTATATTACAGGACACTTCCTCTCGCACGTGTAACAAGGATAGCCAGTTTTTAAGCATTAGTGATTTAAGCATTATCGACAACAATTCTCTTCGTAAAACGAATCAGGAAAAATTCTCTGAGAGGTTTAATAACGTTTTTGCTAAAAATTCTTTTGATATTTTAAAATTTTTATGTTCCAATGAAGGCGCTAAATGAGCTTCCGATAAAAGTATTTCTTAAGTTAAATGAAATCTTTTGGTCTAATTTGTAAGTCACTTTTTTCGAGTTACAAATTCACACATTTCTATGCGTTTGAATAGTTCTCTCATCACACCACGCACAAAAATAGACAACACTGAATAACAAGCAAAAAAGAATAACAAGCAAATATATATATATATATATATATTTAAGAAAATTAATAGCTAAATGAAGCTTCGAAATAGTTTTCTTTTTGATAAATTTAAATATTCTTAGGAAAAATGACCAAGTTTTAAATATCGAGCGTTAATCGATCGCTCCACTCGCTGGAAAATAAAATAAAGCTCAAAAATTTTCAAAGCGACTTTTCTCGACAGTGACAACTGTTTGTTAATTTATAAATTTCGTTCGAATCTCGACTGAGAGGGCTTTATAATGATATAATTATCGGTCAAGATTTTGGGTGGAGCCTAGAAAAACTAAAGACAGTGAAAAAAAATCTGAAGCCTAGAAAAACCTGAAAAAAGACAATCTTTTTCCCCATTTTGATTGGTTGCAACATAAACACTAGACTTTAGCTCATATGTAATTCCTACTCTATTAACATTACAAATTTTTTCTACTGAAGATGTGGCTGTGGCCCAACTTTCTACGCTAATTCCATAGGAGACGGCCATTCTTGTTAATATAACATTAAATTTTCACAATTGGTTTTTCTGTTATAAGATCTGGTATTTTTTATGCGTCTCAATTTGAAAAATGGCTGTCATCAAAAAAGAGATGACTGTCATCAAATACTTACAAACCAACAATCTGGGATGAGCTAAGCTAAGACTTTAATTTTCACTACTGGGTTTCTCGATTTTTGAAAGCTTAGTTTCCAAATATATATTAATGCATATATTTGAAATCTCAAGTGGGGCACCCGGTTAACTAATTTAATACCTCATCTTCATATTGAGTAAAATTACAAATCAATTACAAGTTATGTCCATCTACACTTCATGAGCTCAAATTAGCCTTGCCGGCGGGATCAATTTCGAAAAAGGATACATTCAGTTTTAAAATAATCTGCTCAATAAATCCAACCGCCACACTAGAATTGAAAGCTCGCAAGAAGTTCTCGCCTTTGTCCACAGCGAGAGCTAAATTTGAATCAACCGGAATTGATCCCAAAAACTGAATATTTTTCTTAGCTGCTAGAGATTTTCCACCTCCTTGGGAAAAGATGTTGGAGCAATGACTGCAATGTTGACATATAAACCCACTCATATTTTCAATGATTCCTACAATTTCCAGCCCACATTTGTTGCAAAAACTGATTTCTCGCTGCACATCATGAACACTTACAGCTTGTGGCGTGGTCACTAAAACAGCGCCGACATTTTCGGAAAACATTTTCTCATTGTCTAGAAGTGACTTGATATGTTCCACGATCGACATGTGCTCGTCTGATGTTCCGGGGGGCGTATCAATTACAAGTAGATCCAGATTCTCAGACCACTGCACGTCCGTTAAAAACTGTTTAATCATCGCGTTTTTCTTGGGACCCCTCCAAACAACGGCGTCTGTGTCGCTATTTAGCAAGAACCCTATAGACATCACTTCAAGACTGCCGTGTTTATGCTTCGACTCAGTACTATTGACTGTTCCATTGGTCGCATGCGAGGAGGCTTTGCAGGGCTGGTAAAACACGGGAACCCAGGCTCCGCATGTGGACTGGACTACAGAACTGTTATGCAGATTGAGCATCTTGGGAATCGAGGGTCCGCACAGGTCGATGTCCAGGAATGCGACCTTGAGGCCTTGCTCCTTGTAGCACAGTGCGATCTGACATGCCACCGTTGACTTTCCCACTCCGCCCTTGCCGCTCAAAACAATCAGAATTTTCTTGGCTAACACCATACAACACCTCTAAAAACATATAAATGACACTCGCTCAGTTCCGTATGGATCAGACTTCAATATTTGAACTACAGGAGGGCAGAAATCGGTGTACATTTTCCCCCACACCAATCTGGATGAAGTTTTTTTCTAGTTATACTCATGTTTTGGTGATTTGTAAAGAGACGCAAACCCGCAGTCAGAGTACATGTGCTATTTTCACAGTCCACGCGCACTCAACTAATATTTCAATCGTATTGACTACCAAAAATATAATGATTCACTTGAGCGCTAAAAATATCAGTTGGCTCAAAAAAATTTGAAGGAAAACATCATCTGGCAGTCTGAGATTTATTCAAAAACTAGACATATTTATGAGCACACAGAAGCTAGTATCAAATATCTCTTTGTACATGCTTTATACTTTGGTCAATTTCATTTTTCTATTCAAATCTACCATAATCACAAATAGAATAGAAACCAAACTTCAATCCGAATATGAAACGTATTTACATTAACAACACATTGAATGCCATGACGCAATAATGTAAGCTAAAGCTCAAGAATGATTGCCGTCATACACGATTTAGTCATTCAAAAGTGTTTCACAGAAATTTATATTTAGAATTATTTGACAGATCAAAACATAGCCAATCGAAGATTGGAAAAGAGTAATGAACGCAATTAAACAAAAAAAAACAGTGACTTTGTTGAAAAAAATCTCAACTTTCAAATTTCAAAGAGAAAAATAGATGCCCTATAAGCTCTTTGAATTTCTAGAACAATTTATGATTGGCGCTTTTTTATAACATGAACCCAACTTGAGAAAACTGAATCAACAGGTAAAATTTTATTTCGCTGGGAAATCTTAAAAAATTCCACTTCTGAACTATAAATCGTTCACGTTATTTCGCGCCATTTCCACGTTCGTATGTGCTATTTACGTCACTTTCAGCAGATGAATTTCAATTGAACTCAAAAAGTGCATTATACTTAAGTGCATCAATATTTTAAGACTTTTTCCTGAAAAAAAAAATCTGCAAGACCTAGATAAGAGTCTTCACCACGTTCATTACTCGTAACAATTAAGTAGAACGGTACTATTTTACTTGTTTGGTGCCTCAAAAATACTGTGGTCCCCAATAAATACACTTTGCCAGCGAATTTGAAAAAATATGAGGGTTTGTTCTCACTGAAGCCTTTTAAATTGTCTTTTATTAATTAATCAGATGTAGTTAGTCTTGTTGATACAAATGCGGTTACCAATCCCAAGGATTGGGTTCGCATCCCAAGCTAGCGTTTGTTTTTTGGGAATTAGGCTGGACCAATCATATTAACTAGATTTGCCACGGGACAAAATCAGTAAATTAGTACCAGTAGCACAACAGCAGTGATGTTCAATATAACCATTTGTGTAGGAACATAACGATTGGTTTAAAATATAGTTTGTAAAACTGATTAAATCAATGACTAGGGGATGGAGTAAACGGTTAAATCCTGATTTCTTGGAAAAACTAACGAAATCACTCAAAGTTTAATTTCAATTCACTGATTGATGCTGATTGCCTGAAAATTCTAAGTTAGAACCAAGTCAACATACCCCGTGAACAGCTTTGGAGGGAGAGGTTAACTTGTTCCCATTTTATTCTAAAACACATTGCTTCAGTTGTTACCAAAGGGGACGGGCATTCTTCTATGCGTGACGCTTAGCATGTGGCTATTAGAGCCATTAGAATTGAAATAGTTTTCTCACATTTGCTACTGAAATGTGAGTGATTATTGGGAACCCCATCAAAACATGCGAGATTATTTCAATTGCTCATGCTAAGCGGAACGCATGCAAGTTGCTACGCCTCCGTTATTAAAAACAATAAATGCAAAACTAAAAGAAAATACGCTTTTCAGTATAAAATAAAAATACGTAAGTTGAAATGATCGAATCTAAGCGAATTAGATTTCTCAGGAATACAATTGGAGAATTTGCGTGTAGCGTCATCTTACAGCCCCATCAATAACGGTTGTCGTCTTAACGGGTGTCGACTTATTTGCCGGACACCGACAAAACTATTATGCTGTTCAATAACATTGGTTGTTGTTGTTGTTGTTAGCCCACGCGGGTCGGGTTGGGCTCTTCTGTCTCCAGGTCAAGGAACTTAGCAACCTCTACCGGCCGAAGCCACAGGTCTGCTGGGGTGAGTGGGGAGGGGTTTTGGGAGCAGTTGAAAAGGTGACATGTTGTGTGGGGGGCAAGGGAACAGGTTGGGCAAAGGTGGGAGATGGAGCTGTCGAGGCGGGATAGGTAAGTGTTAAGGAGCCGGCTGTAGCCAGACCGGAGTTGGGAGAGCTTACAGCGCGTGGGACGTGGGAGAGATTTTTCAGAGGGGTCAATCTTTGGGGGAGGGATACAAATAACTTTAGACGGAGGGGTTTCGGCTAGGAACTTGGTTACAAGGGAGGTATGGTTGTCTTTTAAAATTGGTTTGTAGTAGTTAAAAATAAAAGTGGAGACTTCGTCTCGGTCGTCCAGAACTAGAGGGTGGTTTGCGTAGACTGAAAAGTCGGTTAAAATTTTCTGGGTGTCTTCTTTGAAGCAGCTTATAATTGAGGGGCGAAGTAGACGGGGAGGAGGGGGATGTGAATGTATAAAATTAATGGGATGGTGGGAACGATAGGTAGAGATAAAAAATTGAGATGACAGAAGGGTATGGTGGTCTTTGACCGTTAGGATTTCAGATTCACTGTGCAGGTGGGCAGTTGAACTCATTAGATTTGATCCAGTAACAACGCGAAGGGATTGGTTTTGGGCAACCTGCAGGCAATTTATGGAGGTGTTACTTGATGCGTGGGACCATGCGGGGGCTGCATAGTCAAGTATGGGGCGAATTAAAGCTTTAAAAGTTAGGAGGAGGGTTTCTTTGGAGTGACCCCAGGTTGATCCTGCTAATGCCTTCAGGATTCCGATCCTGCGTCTGGCCTTTTCAGCGGATTGTTTGCAGTGAGTGGCAAAACAAAGTGTTGGATCAAATGTCACCCCTAAGATTGTTGGATTTTTGTTTAGGGGTAGCGCCTCGTTATTTAAAAGAACACTAGGTGTTTTATTAAATTCTTTGTTATAAGAGGAGAAAAGTGTAACTGATCCTTTAGAGGACGCGAAACTTAGTTTGCGTGAGGTGAAAAAATCGTAGAGCCTTTTTAGGTAGCTATTGAGGGAGTTTGAGGCGATATCAATATTGGAACTGCTTGCGAAGGGGTGGAAATCGTCTGCATACGAAACAAGGTTTACATTATCGGGAGGTGGCGGTGCATCATGGACATAAAAATTGAAGAGTGTGGGTGATAAAACAGAACCTTGGGGTACGCCACAGTGGATTATTCGATGGGGGGATGTGTGTTCACGGAATGAGGTGGCAGCCTGTCGACCATTAAGGTAATTACTTAGCCAGCGGACTAGACTTCTTGGGAGGGGAGTGTCATGAACGAGTTCCACAAGTGAGCGATGACACACCATGTCGAAAGCCTTAGATAAGTCAAGTGTGGCCAGTACCGTACGTTTAGGGGGGCGATTTTGGTTAAAACCGTCTGAAATGTAAAATTCGAGAGTGGAGAGAGCTGTGGTGGTGGAGTGAAAAGGGCGGAAGCCGTGTTGGTGTTTGGCGTTGGGGAGATGTTTGGTAAAGATGGGGTGAACGAGCCTCTCCAGAATTTTAACTGCTGGGCAGAGTAAGGATATAGGTCTGTAAGATGTTGATTGTTTAAGATCCTTATTGGGCTTTGGAAGCGGTGCAATTTTTGAATTTTTCCAAATTTGGGGGATAATGTTTTCGGACAAAGAGATATTAAAAAGGTATGTTAAGTATTGAGTAGCAAGTGGGCCGAGATGTTTAAGATGTATATTACAGAGGCCGTCGGGACCTAGCGCTCGCGATGGTTTGCTGTCTGCAATGGCTTGTTTAGTATTTTCAGGGGTAAAAATTGGGCTGTCTGACAGTGGTAGTTTGGCAATTTTTCTTCTCGTTATACGAAGGAGTTTGTCAGAGGCGTGGGGTCTGGCATTGGTGAATTGTTTGTTAAAAGAGCTGGTAATATCACGAGGTGAGTGTATGGGTTTAGAACCAAAAGTAATGGGGTGTCTTCCTGCCACGGGCTTAGATCCATTTAAGGAGCGTACCACTTTCCAGAACTTTCTGGCACCAGTGCGGTAGTCGCAAGTCCGGAGGAATTCTCGCCATTTATTTTCTTTGTCCTTTGCTGTCTGTTTCATGAGTCTACAGTTCAGTTGGGATATGACTTCTGGGGGGAGATTTTGTTTTCGGCTTAAATCTCTTTCGGCGGCTAGGGCAGTGGACTCGGGGGAAAGAGAGGGAGTGAAGTGGCGAATACGGCCAGCGGGGATGTGGTGGCGTGCTGCCCTGAGCACCAGGTCCCTCAAGAATTTCTCTCCAGCGGCAACTCCGGAAGGTGGAACCGCTGAAAAGAAACCCTCCTCAATTTCCTCTGTGAATTTGATCCAATCTGCTTTTAAAAAATTTACAAAAGTCCTTTTAGGCGAAAAATTTATAAAATCATCCAAGGGTAGTTCTAGAAGAATGGGTAGGTGATCTGATCCTAGAGATTTAATTGGGGTCCATGATGTGGAGAGTAAGAGCGATTGGGATGCGAGGGAAATATCTGGTGACGAGAGTTGGTTTTCTGAGTTAAAAGGGACTCTGGTTTGTGTGTCATCATTTAATGGAGCAAAGGTGGATTCGGTTATTTCATTGCTAAGTACAGAGCCGCGTTGATCTTCCTCGATGTTGGAGTTCCATAGTTGTGAATGTGCGTTGGCATCTCCGAGTACTAAGGCGTCCCCAGGTTCAAGTAGTTCGGCAAGGGACGCAGAGTAACCAGGGGGACAGCTCGAGCGAGGGGGGATGTAGAAATTATAAATACGAAGCTTGGATGAACTGGCTACCACTGATATGCCCATAGCCTCTAGTGTTCCATCGTTGTTAATATTTATTTCTTCGTATTGTATCGACTCATGTATGGCTATGAGAAGACCGCCCCCTTCTTTTTCTCGATCTTTTCTAATTAAAGTGTAGTGTGAGCCAAGTGAGGGGTTTCGAGATTTCTTTCTTAATTTAGTTTCTTGGAAGACAGCAATATGAATTTGATTTTGAGATAAGAAAGCAGCAATTTCGGGTGCTTTTCCGGAGATACCGTTGCAATTAAATTGAAGGATTTTTAAAAGGCCTTTGGCAGGGTGTGGTGAACTATTTACATTATTAACAGCAGTATGATTAAAATGGTTGTTTGAACTTGAGTTATTTACACTATTTACACGATTACGATTTGCGCGATTTTGGGAGGAGGAATTATTATTCGAGGAGGTGGGAAGGGTGGGAGGGGGAGGGGGGTTAGGGAGGTGGGGTTGGGGGGCGGTTAGGGAAGTTGAACAAGTTTGGGAGTTGGGGGTGGTCAAGTTAGAGGACCTGGTGCCTGGGGGAGGTAAAATGTAGGTAGAGGTACAGGTAGGGCAATAGTAGTCAAGGTGGTGTTGGTTAAGGTGGGTAAGACCACTACATTTAAGGTGAATGTAACCACAGATGTGGCACCAGACGCTGGGCTGGGTGCGTTTGATGCGGAAAGAGCAAGGGGAGCAAAAGTAAGGACCTGGACCAGGGTTTGGATTAATGCCGGAGCGGAGTAGTAGTATAAGGATGAGCAGACGGAGCAGCCTGGCCGGCTTCAGACGCTCCGTAACCGAAAACCCGGAGACTTCGGAGCTTCTCCCGACCCAATGGGAGGGGGGGCTTGACGCCATTTGCATCTTGGTGGGGCCCAAGATGTCGGATCCACCACTGGAAGGCGGCGTCGTCTGGATCCCAATAACATTGGTTGCTGTGACCACACTGACATTATATTACATCAAACTCAATAACGTCACTCAAGTACGTCGCTTGTTCAACGCAACGAAAGTTCAATTTCACCGGTTAAAATATTTCAATCGGTTAAAATTTAATAACGGTTAACTGCTCCATGCCCTACAAATAACCTGATGGTTTAACCGATTTGGTTAAAACCGGGCCTTATAGAACCAATTTAACTTGGCTGTACATTAGCTTTCTGGAATGCATTCTGAAATTGATTAGGGCCAAGGAGCCTTAGTTTTTACCACGCCGCTCCAAACCTTCCCTCAAGTGTGTTCCCTCAATCGATGAGTGACAATTATAGAAAGTAATAGTGGCAATTTAAAAAATTTTAGCAATTTGCCAACGTCCAAAAAAAACTCGGTTTAAGGTCACCGGTGGGCGCGCTACGCGGCGATAACCGGCTCTAATTTTCGTATAGAATCCTGCCTGTAGGCAAGTTCGCAACACTTTGGCGCGACTGCGACGATCACTATTTTGCTGTTATCATTCCGTCTCAATTTAGGCGTAGGGTAGATTGGCGCAGGGTAAATTGGTACATGGGGTAAAAATGGAATAGGGTAAGTTGTCCTGTTACCTTGAGAGTATTTATAATTTGTTTTATTATATCTTCAATTTCAATTCAAAATATTTTAATTGGTTAAAGAACAAAAATTAATTAAGTTTTTTAAACTTGACATCACTGGACAATAGTCAATAGTCAAAGTTGAACTTGATCATGAAAGCATCAAAGATTTTTAGAAGATCGATCATGCTTTTAATCGTAAAATCATCAAGATCGATTTTTCCCAGAATGCATTTCTTTCAAAATGAATCAGAATGTTCCAGTTTAGTTAATTCTTAAGTAATGAGTAATGAAATGATTGATTCAAGTATCGTAATGTGAAAATAAAAGATTAGACAATGGCAAATAGAATTTCGACAAACTGCTCATATGATATCTGAATACTTCCAGTCCTGTTCGTGTCCAGCGACTGGAAGTTCCTCGTCACATTGTTCAGCACGACACAGATGCGAATGAAGTTATCGAAAGTGACCTCGTTGGTCTCCTTCTTGGCGAAACGAGAGAAGATAATGTTGTAGAACCTGTCCGATAGTCGGTAACCGAAGTTGCTCAAAGCAGTCTTCAGTTCGTTGAAGCTAATCGCTCCCGATCTATAACAACCCCTAGTCACAAATTCAACAAAGAAACTAACTTGGAAGGAAAAGGCCACTTGAAGGAAACTTGGAAGGAAAACGTCAAAAAAAGTTCATTTTATGGAATACAGGTTATAAAAAACTCTTGCAAACTACCCGTCAGTACCGGTCATGTTACCAATTAGTTACCTGTCTGAGTCATACTGTTGGAATACGCGCGACCATTGAGTGATGAAGTCGAACACCTTTCTGAAGTCATCGAACACCATCTGGCCTGAATTGGAGTTATCAAACAAGTTCATCAGCAGCTGCACTGTGGCCAGGTTGAACTTCTCGAAGCCATTTGAGAGAGCCTGTTGAAGTTCCATCGAGGATATCTTGCCTGATCTGTCTGTGTCCACAGTGCAGAACCAGCCCCATAGATCTGCTTGACCCTGTTGCTGTGGTGGAGGCTGCTGTTGGTGCGGGTTCTAGTAATACATAACATGAAGAAAAAAAACAGGTTTTTGAAAAATACAAAAATGCTAATATACTCGAAGAAACAGACCAAATGAAAGCTCCTGACATCAACAATTTCAAAAACAGATTTCTAAAAACATAATTTCTCTGCACAATTAGCAATACTAAAATTTTGCGAAGATGAATAGGCAAATCGACTAAAAAAAAAAAACTTTCGAAGAATTGTTTTTCGTCAAAAATGCAAAAACAAATATCAAAAATATTGGAACAAAATTACCGGCACCATTTAAAACTTTATTGAAGGTATTGCTCCATGGAATATAACCACTATACTAATTGCGCAGTATGATCCGCTAAAAATTGAATTAACTATAAAGCAAGACGAAGCATTTAGCTCATTGAAGTAAAAATGTTATTAAAAATGGCGACACAGGCCAAGGCTTTAAACTGCAAAAACATTATAGAACAAGGATAGCCGCTTACTGTGCAAGTAGCTTTTTTCTGCATGTTGTGATAAAAAAAATTGAACAAAAATAGAACTTAGGCATATTTGAGAGTCATAGTGAAATAGAACAATTGGAAAACAGTTTTTGAAAAAATGACTAGAAAAAAAAATAGAATTCTCAAGTTTTTGACTCCCGAAATTGCGCTAAAAAACTCCAAAAAACACCTTTTTTTCAGTAAAGCTAAGTTTTCACGGCTTACATTAAGCTTGAATAAGCTATTGCAATTACTAAGTACCTTACTAATCAGCTCGAAATTAGACCAAGAATAAAAAACTTCAAACCGGTTTTTCTCGACACTTTCTGTATAATTTTTTTGAAAATTTTTAATGTCGTTCGAATCACGACTGAAAGTGCTATAATATGATATATCACTCAACCTTCTTCGATGATTATTTGTGGCAGCTAATTTTGCGAGGAAAAAAAAACAAAAAAAATTAAAACAACCGAATCCAAAGTTCAACCCCATTTTCAATGGACGGAGCAAAAAAGCTTAAACGTGGCAAACTGCGCGTGGAAACATAGTGTAGATTGCAGCAAATGCTAGAATTAACAAAATAACAACTTTTGACAAAAAAGCAAAGCAGAGCTTCGCACTATTTGTGATACAACAGAACAAGAAAAAAAAAGAAATCTTTTAAGAGCCACTATATATGAGCAGCTACTAACAACGCCACAAAAATTTTGCAAAAAAACTTAGAGAACATGAGACAGAAGCGAAGCGGAGCTTCGCACCACTTGCGACACGGAATAATAAAACCTCATAGCCGACGTACAATTGGAAAAGAGTCAAACAAATCTCAACTTTCGAAATTCAAAGCACGAAATCCTTTGAGTATCATGAACACTTCATGATTGACACTTTTCTGCTGAAATAACAGAAAATGATGCAAATTATGATTTTCCTAATAAAAAATCATCGCGACCTATATAACAGTCTGAACTATGTTCACCGACTTTTAAAAACTAACTATCAAAATTATTGCAGCTAGTTTTTAATCAAAACATACCAACAATACAATATGAAATTAGCATCGGAAAAAAACTTATCAAGCGGTAAAAAAACCCAAAATGCCGTAGCAAAAAAAACCTCTCAAGCTTCAATATATTAAGTCCCCTTCGCCCTCAAAAAATTAATAATTCTCCCTCACCCTCAAAACACACCCACGCGACTTTTTTGCCCGTCAAATGAGGCCACAAAGCCGATAAAACATAGACTAAAACCTATCAAGCCGGTAAAAAACGTATAAAAATTAGAGTCCAGCTTAAGCTGGAAATACCGGTTTGATAACTTTTTATTTTTTTTAGTGATGCGGAAGGAAGACTGAGACTTCACCCAGGACCTAATTTTCTATGAATTTTTTTTGGCAAATAATTTCTGAAAACTTACTTAATGAAACTCGCCGCTAGGAAACAGGTGGCAACGGAAAACAAACCTCAAGCCAATACAAAACCATGCAAAGAATTAATTGTAAGATTAACATTAACGAATGCATTTTGAATTTTCACCCCGTCAAACAAAACAATACAATTGGAAAAAGGAAGCGTGTGAAAAACTCAGCCAAGTGACCGCTTATGCAGGGGACTTCGCACAAATCGTTCTACCCATAGAAACCAAAATCTCAGATATGGAAGGGTAGTTTTTGAGAAAGACAAAATTTTTTGAAATTTAGTTTTTCTGAGCGCCACAACTTTTGGATTTAAAAAAATTGGGCGTAATCGCTATGCAGGGGGGGGGGGGGGCTTTCAATAACCGTTCTACCTTTTGTAACTAAAATCTCAGATTTCGGACAGTAGTTTTTGAGAAAATCAACAAGTTTTAAAAAACGGTCAAAAAATCAAAAATCTGACTTTTCTGAGAGCCACCACTTTGATTTTAAAAATTTTGGCTTAGCCGCTTATGCAGGGGAACTTTTCTACAACCTGTTCTATCTGTTGAACCCAAAATCTCAAATTTGGGAGGGTAGTTTTCGAGAAAATAAAAAAAATTGAGTCAAAAATTCCTTCACACATTTTTTTCGAAGGCCGTAGAAAGTAGGGCATGGTAAAAACAGACTAGCGGATTATGCAGGCACACAAGGGAGTTGGCGGACTTCGAATTGATACCGCTATTTTGGACAGTGGGAGGGTGGACTTTCAAAAACACTAAATTTTTGAAAAAAGTGAAAAATTTTCCAAAGCATCTCAAAAAAAAAAGTAAAAACAAAAATAAAAAACCCGATCCCATACACTAGAGGCCAGCGAAAGATGGAAAAAACTGCTTGATAAATTTTGAATTTTTTTACTGGTGCGAAAGGACAAGAGTAATTTCAAAAACTGGGCACCACCCAAAACCTTAGTTAATTCTCTGATAAAATTACTGGGAGTGAACTTTTTTTGAGTTCGATTCTGCAGGATAACCTTCGAGGAAACCAAGACATTTCGAAAAACGGTCCAAATATCCAAAAAATGACTTTTAATATGGTCAAAAAATGTTGTGTGAAAAATTTAGACGTGACCGCTAATGCAGCGGAGCTTCCCACAACCCGTTCTACTCATTGAAACCGAAACCTCAGATTTGGGAGGGTAGTTAATGAGTAAATTCAAAAAGTTTCAAAAAACGATCAAAATCCAAATTTTGACTTTACTGAGGTCCATAACTTTTAAAATAAAATAAAAAATTGAGCATAATCGCTTCTGCAGGGGAGCTCCCCACAACAAGTCTTTCCGATTGAAACTAAAATCTCAGATTTGGAAGGGTAGTTTTCGAGAAAATGTAGGTTAAAAACTCCAAAAATGTGGGTCAAAAATTCACCCCACACATTTTTTCGAAGGCTGTAGAAAGTGCGGTAAGGTAAAAGGAAGCTAGCGATAATGCAGGCCCACATGGGAGTGGGCGGATTCTTATTGGTAATACTTTTTTGAAAATTGGTATAGTAGTTTTTGAGAAAAACTAAACTTTTGAAAAAAGTGAAATTTTTTTCCAAAGCTTCTCAAAAAAATTTAAAAACCCTTTACTATACATTTTGATAATACTTTGTTTTTATCAAACAGGAACAAAAAAATCATCAATTAAGACTTCAAAATTACAAAAAATTGTTAGGTCCCCGCAGAATTAAAACACCCACACTCATGCACGAAAAACCTTTTTTTTCGCTGGTCGAACGACGGGATATGAGGCCACTAAACCGATATAAATTAGGCGGAACAATATGAAGGCCAAAAAAAAAGAAAAAAAATGAAATCACAGCCAAAATTAAACAGCAAATTTTGCATAAAACAGATATTTAAAATGCGAACATGCACCAAATACGTCTGCAGCGGATAAACTTGTTGCAAAAGGAGATTTTCTGGAAATGACTGTGAGTGCTGGTAACAAAGTTATATACGAGAAAAAACAAGCATAGTAACCGATAGCAATACTCTTGCTATCGCAGAAGTAAGATAAAATGCCATTGTTAAAAAAAAACTAGCGAAGCAAAAACTACAAATTACTTAATTTTTAAATTACACCGAAAATTATTAACTTAAGCTTGAAATGAATCAAAATAAAGAGATAGAATCATGACTGAACAGGGTTCGACTCGACTCCATAAGACTCCATGTTATTAACGGTATCTGATTTTGCTCTGAAAAAAAAAATGTTATAACACCCGGTTCGTACAGGTGATAATCATGCTTCTATCGAAAAAAAAACACCTGTTGGGGCTGTGAGTAGCGTTGAGGTTGCTGCTGCGGCTGTGCTCCATACTGGTTGTACTGAGGAGGTGGAGCTCCCTGATAGGGTCGACCGGCTTGGTATTGGGTTGACGGTGCTCCTTGGTATCCAGATGGAGGTGCTCCTTGGTATCCAGATGGAGGTGCTCCTTGGTAACCAGATGGAGGTGCGCCTTGGTAACCAGGTGGAGGTGCGCCTTGGTGCGGCGGTGCCGATGCTCCGCTATTCGGATTTTGGTAGTAACCATACATTATACAGATGAAAGTGAAAGTGTGATTAGGTTACTCAATCTCACATGCAACTAATATCTGGAACCAAAAATTGGAAAACTTGAAGAAACCGTCTGCTGCACAAACTTAGGTATTATCCGGACAACAAAGTCTAAACTTTATTTATTTTACAATTAATTAAATATTCTTTGGACAAAGTAATATTTTCGTTACGTCTACCAACAACAAAAATAAGGAGGGAAAAAGACGAATAATTCACCTAGTTCGTTTGCCATTTTGTAACAGTCGAAGTCTAGCAGAGATCTTTCATTGCATGCCTAGCATGTCATACAGACAGTTGTGAGGCTAAAAACGTCTTAGGTTGTCTAAATTTGCTGCATTTTTGGTTAGTTTTCCGCTCATCCACTGTAGGGTAGGACAGGAGGAGCTATTGGAATACTCGTAGATCCCCGCTGCACAACTGGGATTTCCGTGTTACAACTTACTAGGAAGTCAGAGTAGGGTAAAAAAAGGGGGGTCAATTAAAATGCGCCCTTCCGTCATGCGACCGTCAGTGCACATGTTGGAGAATTCTCAGTGACAACAACAACGGAAAAACGACAAAAGATTGAGATTATGACTAGAAATTGTCAGAAACCACTCCGAGTTGTAACGATTGCGCCTCTACAATCGTTACTGAGCAGTTCACGAGAACAAGGAAGGGTGTTGGGACGACGTGTAACGTGTCCAGTCTTCCGAGAACAAAATAAGATCGTTATTTCTCCGGATTCCAGAATCCGGAAGGTTCTCGGCAGAGAACTATAACTCGCTATTTTAACAACTTTTAGCTTCCCGGAATGTCTTGAGTTGAATTTAATTGATACCAAATTCGTTTTCAGATCATGAGAAGCTAGGAGTTGGGGGAAAAGGGTTGATCCATCTTCGATGGAGATTTTTTTTTTTTTTTAAAAGAACACTTTATTTGCACATCGAAGTTAATTTCAATACACAAGTTGTATGTCAAATGTTTTCTATCAATTCATAAAAATATTATAACATCATTAGATACGCATAGTTACAATGGGTAATCAGAAGGTCAAAAGTATCATAGTAACCGAGGTTACAGCCAGGAGTCCCTTCATCACGTATTCCAGTCAAAATCCTTGGAATTTTCTAGATATGGAAGTGATAATAATAAAAGAAGATGACAAGTTTTTAAGTCCTTTTCAATTAAAATCGATACGGGTTACGTTTCTTCAATAACAACACGCAACTCAACACGAGAAAATATAATATTTAAGTGTTAAAAAAAAATTTCGTCGAAAATTATTTTGTCATTTATTGTTCCGAGTACGCAAGCGGCGTTCGCAATCTGTATTACCAGGGAGATTCTCTGTTTTAAAAAGCTGCCTGCTCTGGGTTCCTCAGTGCATATGCTTAGGTTCTTACAAAGCTTGCTCAAAAAAATTTCTGTGCTGGGGCCGGCCGCGCCCTGAATTTCAAAAGCTAGCGGTTGAAAATGCTATCCATCATTTACAAGATCTTTATACTTGTCAATTTTCGCTCTTCCGCTTCAGCGGCAGCCGTACCAGGGTTACAAACAGACCCGACATTAATCCTACAATAAGCTAAGGAGTCTACTACCGTTACATCCCACAAGAGCTGCTTACCAACAGCCCATGGAACGAGCGTCAAACCGTCTGGTCGCTTCTGATCGGTCCTGAAGAGGTGTCGTGGTCCTAAAACAGATGGAATGTGAGTAGAAGATAAACTCTGCTTATTAAGGGCATTCAGGTTTGAATGCCTAGAGAATCTCCCTGCAGTTTTGAGGCAAGAAAGACCATGCCAACCATCCTCGGTAACGTCTTTTCCGCACACGCACTTATGCCGTTCGTAAATTTTTGAGCCTAATCGAAGACATATCGCAATTCTGAGTTGTTGGTTCGACAGTTTTAACCTAAAATTTTTGCACGGGATGACGTTCAACCATTGGGAGTCAAATCTATCTTGGAACATGTTGAATCTTTTTACGTCCGTTGGTTCGAGTCTTAATAATAGTTACAATAGTTACAATAAACAGATTAAAATCTATTATAATTATCGATGATTACTTTTTACCTGAGAGCTTCAAGTTGGTTTATATATAAATCCTATTATGTAAACTTGAAGCGTTTCCATGAAACTTTACCATGAGTTGCCACAAAGGCGCCTTCTATAAATAATAAAAAATAATATTTCGTGAATTTTATCTTCGCTTTTCTGAATGATAGTATGTCTTTAAAAGTGTTTTTATCAGGTGCCGGATATCAAGCCGACAGGACTTCAAGCCGAATCGTAAAATTAGGGACTTCAAGCCCAATAGTTCCTTATAAACTCGTGAAATATGATTATTTTGGAATCTTTTTTGAAGAATTTCTCAATTTCATGATCTTTCTTCACAAGTTATTGACGTTGCACAAAACTTAAACCTCCAAATGAAAATTCGGAAACTTGTAAAGTAAAACATGGTTGAAGGATTTTTTCTTGTTTATAATATATGCATTTCAAAAACCGGCTGATGTTATTAACAGATGCCAATCACAAATGGTGCCTTGTCATGAATAACGTTTATTTCGGACTAAACTTGCCAAAATTTTTGAAAAACAACGTTTTACAGATAATAAAATAGTGTTTTGAGGTGCTTGTAAAGTTTTAATTTCGGCTTGAAGTCCCTTCGGCTTGAAGTCCCGTCGGCTTGTTGTCCTAGACCCGATTTTATCATCTGTTAGTTTGTTCCAGATTATGACGGAATTTTTTTATGAAAGAATTTTCTATATGTTGCCATTGTTTCTGTCGCCGAAATATAAATTTTTGTTTCTTGTATTAATATCTATTTGGTGGTTATCTTACTCAATGTTATTGAAGGCTGGCAATAATTGAATTTGTATTTTCCAAAAGTGACATAATATTTCAGTCCAGAAACATTGTTACTGGCAATTTATTGTGTTTTAGCTTCAAGTCTGAAGATGAGTCGCATTTTGCATGATCGCAGCAAGTTTTTACTGCCCAGCTTAACTATTTTTCCAGAGATATCATTAAGTTAGCGGATATTCCATTTAAAAGAATTGCTGGGTAATGCAAATGACTAATTACCAGTGCATTCATTATCAAGAGTCTTGTTTTTACTGGCAATGGCTTTTTGATTGATTGAAGTGTTTTTATGCATGCCATTTTCCTGAGATTCTTTTTGATTTCATCCTGGAATGTTAGAAACTGGTATAAAACTACTCCTAGGTAATTGACATTGGTTTTTCCTCAATTATTTTATCCTCTAGAGTTATAGTATACTTTTCATCCTTTTTCCTTGAATGTTTTTTTTTGCTGAAAACGATGAATTCTGTTTTTTTTTGCATTCAACTGAAGTGAGTGTTCTAAAAAATAATTTGACATTAGACTGCAATTGGCTTTGAGTGCTTTATGAGCTATTTTTGGATCGGTATTTTCACAGAACAGTCATGTATCATCCGCATATTGAACTATTTTACATGTTTTGTCAATTTGTTTGTTGAGATTGTTAATGTAGAGATTGAATATTAGAGGGCCAGGGACAGTGCCCTGTGGGACACCCTGCTCAAGTGCAATCTAATCGGATTCGGTGTTGTTAACAATTGTTTTCTGGCTTCGGTTGGTGATAAAGGAATTGATCATTTCTATAGCTTCTTCGGAAAAGTTTAACCCTTTTAGTTTCTGTTTCAGATAAGTATGATCAATAGAATCATATGCTTTAGAGATATCCAGTTAAGAACATGCTACAGTTGTGTAATTGTTCAATATATCATTCGCATTTTGAACTATTTTACATGTTTTGTCAATTTGTTTGTTGAGATCGTTAATGTAGAAATTGAATATTAGAGGGCCAAGAACAGTGCCCTGTGCGACACCCTGCTCAAGTGCAATCCATTCGGGTTCGGTGTTGTTAACAATGGTTTTTTGGCTTCGGTTGGTGGTGAAGGAATTGATCATTTCTATAGCTTCTTCGGAAAAGTTTAACCCTTTTACTTTCTGTTTAAGATAAGTATGATCAATAGAATCAAATGCTTTAGAGAGATCCAGTAAGGAACATGCTTCAGTTTTGTTGTTGTCTATTTCTTTTCTGAATGCTTCAGTGCAATAAAGAATAGCGTCAATTGTCGAATATGATGTTCTGAACCCAAATTGGGTTTACTGAGTAATTTTTGGGATATCAGATTTTCGTTGATTTGTTTATATAACAATTTTTCAAAAATTTTTGAAAATACCCCAGTTATAGAGATCGGCCTATAAATTTCTGGTAGTTCTGGACCCTCCTTTGTATATTGGTGTGACAATTGATTTTTTGACCTTGCAAGGATATGTCTTGTTTCTCAAAAACTCATTGTATAGAAATGTCAGATGTGTGTATATTTCATTGCAGCCATCCTTCAATGCCCAGGCTGGAAGTTTGGTTAGACCTGGTGCCCTTCGACAATTTAAATTATGTTTAATCAGAATGAATGATTAATCAGAATGAAAAATTATTATTCGTTTAAATGTTGCAGGTAGAAGTCGTTGGACTTTGCCTTATTTTTGAGTTTTTCTCATAAAACATCCAAGAGTTGAGAACTTGTGATTTAGCAGGTTCGCCATGTGTAAATTATTGATTATGAATTCGCCAAAAGAGTTTCTGCGTAATGGAATGAGGTTGGAAGATTTTTTTGAGTTTCTTGTATCGTTTATTATACTCCATTTTTCGCGTTCGCTTTTTTTTGAGTTAAACAGCTGTGATCTAAATTTATCATCTTCGTAGTTTACCTTTGGTTTGTCGTTGCGAATGAAATTAGTGTTCTGTGGGGCACATTCTTTAATGGTGTCAGCAATGTTAGATGTGAAGATGTCGAATATTACTTCGGGATTAATAGTTCTATAGAAACTTCTCCAATTTATAGCTGATAGTTTTTGTTCGAATTTGTAATCGGAGTAATTGGACTTGTCATATATTTTACGTTTGATTGGTCATACGTTGTTGTTCAGCTTAAGTTCTGTTATGAATGCTGTTGCTTGGTGGTCGGTCTTAATTGGTGGTATGAATATTATTGATTTAT